ATCGCCTGGAAGCTACTCCGCCGATTGCGGCGGCAATATCCCGTCAACGTTGGRCGGTCCGTTTGATCCGGTGACGGTTCCGTTAGACACCACTCTCCGTGGCAAAGCCATCGATTTACCCGACACAGATCCTCGCGTCCGCCGCCACGTCACTGGTTTCGAGCCGGAGCAGATTTCTTTATCTCTTTCCTCCGATCACGATTCCATTTGGGTCTCTTGGATCACAGGTTAATCATTTTTTTTTTTTTTTCATTTACAGAACATAACGTGATTTATAATTCTCTTCAAGTTAATTCTATATTATAATATCATCGTCTTAAAGAACTGAATTGTTATGTAATAACTGCGAACTCTGACATAAGAGTGAAGAATCACCACTACCTTTTTTTTTTAGTTACTTCAGTTGAAAGTTAGGATCTTGTGGCTCTGATAAAAGCTGACAAGGATAAATATAAGATTTTGTTGTTTTTAATGAATTAAATTTGTTGGGTTTTGAAGGTGAGTTCCAAATCGGCAAGAACGTGAAGCCATTAGATCCGACAAGTATCGACAGTATTGTCCAATTCGGTACTTTGAGGCACTCACTGAGTCATGAAGCTAAAGGACATTCACTTGTTTATAGTCAACTTTACCCTTTTGACGGTCTCCTTAACTACACTTCTGGAATCATACACCATGTTCGCCTTAAAGGTTCATTCTTTTTGTTCTTTTCTTGATTTTAGCTTTATATACAAATGCAAACGTAAGGGAACGGATTGGTTTTCTAAATGCAGGGCTGAAACCGAGTACTGTCTACTACTATCGATGTGGGGATCCTTCAAGACATGCTATGAGTAAGATACACCATTTCAGGACAATGCCGATTTCTAGGCCCTCGAGTTATCCTGGTCGAATAGCGGTTGTGGGTGATCTTGGTCTTACTTATAACACAACGGATACAATTAGTCATTTGATTCATAATTCTCCTGATCTTGTTTTATTGATCGGCGATGTGAGTTACGCAAACCTGTATCTGACAAACGGTACAAGCTCGGATTGTTATTCTTGCTCTTTCCCGGAGACGCCTATACACGAGACCTATCAGCCACGTTGGGATTATTGGGGCAGGTTTATGGAGAAATTGACTTCTAGAGTTCCTTTGATGGTGATCGAAGGGAATCATGAGATCGAATTGCAAGCAGAGAAAAAGACATTTGAAGCTTATAGCTCAAGATTTGCTTTCCCTTTTAAAGAAAGCGGCTCGTCTTCTACACTCTACTATTCTTTTAACGCGGGCGGGATTCACTTTGTAATGCTCGGTGCCTACATCGCCTTTGAAAAATCAGGTTTGATAATATCAGACTCTGACCTCTAAATTTACATGTTTATGCGTGTCTTCTAAGGATTTTGTCGGTTTTGCAGCGGAACAATATGAGTGGCTAAAGAAAGATTTGGCTAAAGTCGATAGATCGGTAACTCCATGGTTAGTAGTTTCTTGGCATCCACCTTGGTATAGCTCTTATACAGCGCATTACAGAGAAGCGGAATGTATGAAAGAAGCCATGGAGGAGTTACTTTACTCTTATGGTACCGACATTGTCTTCAACGGACATGTAAGACCCGAAACATAAAAGCTGTATTTTTATCTCCGCCTTTTGATTTGGTATGTGAAACCATTTATCCAGGTTCATGCTTATGAACGGTCGAACCGAGTTTACAATTACGAACTAGACCCGTGTGGTCCTGTTTACATTGTGGTTGGTGATGGAGGTAACCGTGAAAAGATGGCGATTGAGCATGCTGATGAACCCGGTAAATGTCCTGAGCCTTTAACCACGCCGGATCCAGCCATGGGTGGGAAATTTTGCGCGTATAACTTCACAGCGTGTGGTAAGTTCTGCTGGGATCGGCAACCGGATTATAGTGCCTTGAGAGAAAGCAGCTTTGGCCATGGAATCCTAGAGGTATGCAGTGAATCACTCCTAAACGCATCAAAACCATATTAGTCTCAAGTTTAACAAAAAGATCATTACTTCGCAGATGAAGAACGAGACATGGGCACTATGGACATGGTATCGGAATCAAGACTCGAGCAGTAAAGTCGGAGATCAGATTTACATTGTGAGACAACCTGATCGATGTCCGAGTCACAACCGCCTCGTCAACCATTCCTAATCTCAAAGTTTCAACATTTCATTGAATAAAAAAGATTGAATCTTTTGTCTACAAACAACTATGGAAATTCTTCCAAAATAAAATAAAAAGTTCGAAAATTTCTTTCAAAAACGAGTAAAAAAAGTTTCTAAAAGATCTCAAGGAATTCGAGTACGAAGCTACTGCAAACAGGACAATGACCTTTCTGAGCTGAAAGCTCTTTAGAACAGAGCTTACAAAACGTATGACCACAAGGTGTGAAAGAAGCTCCTTTGATTTTCACATTACAAACACAGCAACTAAGC